AAGGAATTGCTGGAGATCACCTAATCCACTCCCCGACCAAGGCAGGGTCACTTAGAGTAGGTGGCTTTTGAATATCTCCAGAGAGGGGTAGTCTATGTCTAATTCCAGTGCTCTGCCACCCTCAAAAGTTCTTCCTCATATTGAGGTGACCTCAGCCGCTTCCCCCCAGGGCCTTTCACCATCTTCATTGCTGTCATATGAACACTCTGTAATGGCTTAATGTCTTTCTTACACTGTGGCACCCAGACCTGCCCCAGCACTGGAGGTGAGGCTGCCTCAGTGCAGGGCAGGATAATCCCCTCTCTTGCCCGGCTGGGGATGCTGTGCCTGATGCGTTCCAGGACATGGTTGATCCTCCTGGCTGCAAGGGCACACCAGAAAATACTCACCCATAAACTCTTATCTTGTTAATTTGTCCCTGAGTAGAGCTTGATATGTTCCAGTTCCTCTCTCATGTAAGCAGAAACTCCCACCACCTTTCTTCTCTGACATTTCTCTGTCCTTTCTAAAGAAGACATACTCATCCATGACAATATTCCGGTGATGTGAGCTATCCCACCATGTCTCACCATTGCAGTGAGATCATGGCATGTATTTCTAGTAATGGAAAACCACTCAGAATATTCATGGAGTCCTCATGGAGGTAAAAGTAAACTTCACTTTATTTCTATCTTTAGCACACTCTCATAGGGTCCTACAGGGTTCATGCAGCTTAACAAGCTACTGTTGGCTAATACATTTTGTTCCTTTCCTTGTACACAACATCATTGTTCTTCTTCATTCTCACTGCTCCAGGAAAGTCTCAAGGACACTGTCCTTGGAATTATCATCTGGGTTGGAAGCTGGGTTGTGCAGATGGGCTTTGACTAAAGTATCATGCCCTTGCTCTGTTAAAATGTTCTCTACATTCTAGTTCTTGTTTACTCCCCATTCTGCATCTGTTTGTATACAGACACTTCAGGTTTAATCAAAGCATGGGGTTTCCTGGAAGGGATGTGAAAAGATTCACCGTGGCTATAAGCACCCATGATGTGTGTTGTGCTTTGATCCTCAGCTCCAGGAGCAGCTAAGGAACATCCATCTCTGCACTGGTTGCTATGACCTGCTCTGCAGGAGGATGCAATGGCACATTTGCATCCTACCTCCCAAGTCCTTCAGTTTAAAGCCCATCTCACCCAACTGGCCAGTGTGCTGCCCATGATTCGTTTTAGCAAGGGAGACACTCTTCCCCCATAACAGGTTAAAAATAATAAAAACACAACCCACAGTTATAAAAGCCAAAACCTTCTCAATGGCAGCAGTCACCAACCCAGACATTGATCTGCACAGTGTCTGCCTCTGGCTGTCCTGATTTCTCTAAAAAGGTGGACAGATGAGATCACTTGGGCATGGGGATGACCTGGGATGTTTTTCACCTGCTTTGCCATGGCCTTATAGTCTTCCTTGATCCCACCTATATTTTGGCTTGTGGTGTCATTAGTATCCATATGAAGAAGTGATGGGGGTAGTGGTCTGTGACAGGTCAGGGTCAGCAACACCATGGATCCCGGTTCCTGGAGGGCAGGGTACCACTCACAACTCTATCAGGCTGTCAGATGGACAACTCAGTGCCCACTACAACCACCTGATGTTTTTTACAATAATCATGATACACTGCTGGTGAGGTTCTCTTTGCCCTGCTCATGGACATCTAAAGCCTTCAAAGCATCAGATCTGCATTTTTCGTCTGCAAGTTGAAGGGTGGAGATTGAAGTGGATTGAAGTGCTTTTGTGGGTCACCAGGGTGCAAGGTGCCTCAGGCTCAGTGGTATCCTTTGTAGGTATGTGGTTCTGAACCCACTTACCTATCTCTGCTCCACCCCCTCTAATACTACACAGCCAACTGACTGTCTCTTGGCATTCAGCCACCTGTTGCAGCTGGTCATCCATCTGTACATGCTTTGTGCAGGTACCAGCCTTTTCTTCAGAAGTATCTGGGCATCCATTGAAACTTACCACTTGTACTGACACCTCCTTCCTCACCAGGTTAATCTGTGTGGGAGCATCAGCCTCCTCAGAGGCTGTCTCAGTAGACACATTGGCTTTGTCTCTGGAATGCGCACCATTGCGGTAGAGACCTAAAGCACTTAGCACTTATCTGAGATGTAGAGCTACTTTTATATTATTACTGTTACTATTATTGTTGTTGTTGTTGTTATTGTTATTATTATTATTATTACTGCTGCTACTACTACTAATACTACTAATTTTAAAATGTGTTTTCCTGACACCAGGGTAGTTGAAGTCCTATTCTTTGGGCACTGTAACAGTGCTTATTTTACCCCCCAAAAAACAATAAGCCTAGTATTTGTTTATGTGGGGTTTTCAAAAAGAGTGGCTTAACTCAAACCTCACTTTTCTTAGTGTGCTTTCCTAATGCTCTGAGCAGGAATCAAACATGTCTTCCCAGGTGAAGCTGTTAACGAAAAATCATAGGGCAAGTTGATTGCTTGCTTGACCTTGTATCACACTGCAAATTCAGAACAGATTTGGGATGATTGAGTTTACACCCCTGTGTTGGGTTGCAATGCAAGATGTAACCAAAAGTATGTATTCTATCACCATCTGTTAAAAGCAAGTGGGGCAGTGCTCTTTATCTCTTCCATGTCCCATCCTCCCTCCAGGGGTTATCTCTTCTGTTAATGGGCCAGCTGTTAAAACCAGATGTGGCAGTGTTCTTTATCTCTTCCACTGCCCGTCCTCCCTCCAGGGGGATCTGTTAATGGGTTGATAAATAACTGATAAAATTACATCATCCCATTGTGAGATGCTCCACCCAGGTGGAGGAACCAAACATTCTTACCTGGACATAATCTGAGATTCAGAACAACCCAGTCAACCTTTCTCCACTGGATTCCCAGAGGAAGTCCAGAATGTTCTGCATCACCACTGGACCTTCAGAGGAAAACTACACCCTTCTACAGGATCACTACTTCAACAGAACCACATCTGCCACTGCAGGAGGACTGCAGCCACCATTTAATTGGACTGCTACCAACACCCTGATCAACAGGGTGTCAGGTTGCATTCTGTCAGTGGTTTTTTTTTTCTAACTAGTGCATTTTTATTTTATTTTCCTAGTAAAGAACTGTTATTCCTATGCCCATATCTTTGCCTGAGAGTACCTTGATTTCAAGATCATAATAGTTCAGAGGTGGGAAGGTTTACATGTTTCCATTTCAAGGGAGGTTTCTGCCTTTCTTAGCAGACACCTGTCTTTTCAAACCAAGCAATCCCCGGGCTGAGCCAACCTCTTTTGCTGCTGCTGAATAGCAGGTGTTCAAAACTATGGGAAGGAGAGGACCTGTAGTCTAAGGGCTCTGAAAGCAGAAGCAAAAATGAGAGTAGGCTCTTAAACGAGCCTGCAGTGGGTGTTCTGTTCAGCAAATCTGTGCAATAGTGGAGCTGCTAGTTTGATGGGGAAAAAAATGAAATCCTAAATGCCTACTGCACAGTGAAAAGAGTAAATGTAATAGACTATAATAATAGACTAAAATATAAGCTTGATCATATGAATTAGGTGGTGTTGAAACACTGGAAGTAATTGCAAACTCAGATCACAACAGGTCAGGTTACTATACTGGTAGTTACAAAAAGAGCTACTTTGTGCTACTGTATACTCAATTTCTACAGCTGTCCATTCTGTTCATTTCCCCAAATTAGAAACTGTATCCCACAAAAAGCAACAAACAAGAGAAAAGCCTCTTCATTTTTCAGCGGCACAGAACATCAAGCTGTTTGTTCTAATGTGTGATACCCAGAATATTACGGGAGAACAAAGTCCTACTAGCTCTTGCCATCCAGTGCTGTTTGCCAAAAGCTTACTCTGCTGTTGCCAGTATTTGTTTGGGGCACAGATTTTGAATCAGTAACCAGCTCATTTCAAAACAGAATACTAACCTGGTGGTGTTCCCACCTGCCCTTCCTGCACTAGCAGAGGGTTCTTCTCTGGACTGCTGTGCTAAGACTTCTAGAGGCATCTCCTGGTCAGCCACCCTTCTCCTGGAATCTGGACCAGGCCCATCAAGCATGAAGAATTGTCCACTGCCTCCAGAATACGTCAAGAATATGATCTCAACTACACCAATGTAGCTATGGGTGTGATAAAAGGAAAACTAGTGTTCCTGAGAAGTAAAGTCTATGGAATGTTTTTTTTTTTTAATGTAATACACAATCATCTGAAGCAAAATCACATCCCATTGTCATGCTCAGGGCTGTGACTGGAGTGTTGTTTGTCCTTGCTCTTGATCATTTTGATCTAGCGGTTAAGGAAAAAAATAAAACAAGGGTGCTTATTAAGCTGAAAAAAGTAGTTTGTTTTACTGTTTAAGTCTCAAGCCAGCTGTGTGGGAGTCAGCCCTAGCCAGAGGAGGACTACTTTCTGTTTCTCCTCTTGACTCAGAGAAACCACCCTTCTGATAAAGCACAGGCACCTGCAGGTCACATTTTTCAGCTTACTGATGAGCTCACTCAAGCAGAATTTGGAAAAACACTTGGCCTACAGAATTTTATTTCTGTTGAGAAAGAAAACAAAAAATTAGGTGAAACATGCAGGTGAAAGATAACAGTTCTGTAGGTACCTGAAAGGGACTACATTTGAGGTACAAAATCCATGGTATACCAGCTGTTTTTATACAATCAAAGTTGTAATGCTTAGGTAAGCTAGACTGTTTCTCTAAGAACTTCCAGAAATTCAAGTTACAACACATGTACTGCCACGCAACAGCTACTTAGATGAGTTCTTCTCATGACATTTTTGCTTCAAAGCAGTATGGAAAGCATAAGCTCCATCCCAAGCCAGATGGTTGAGCAAGACTAAACTACCACACTAGAGGTTAAATCTGGACCTGTCTTCTCAGCATATTTTCTGAAAGAAGATGTTTAAGATTTTTCTGTGAATAGCTGTCTAAAAAGGGGGTGGTGTTTTTAAACCAACATCTGGTCTAAGAAAAGAGGCAATGAACGATTTTGTAATTATATTGGAAACACTTAATCTACAATAATTAGAACATTCATACAGAAATTTAAGAGTCAGCTTGAAATAATGCACACAATACATTAATTTCAGAACATCCTAGATGCATTGATTGGTTGTATTCACTAGCCTTCTCTGCTCTGCAGGATCACATATACCCAGCTAAGAGGACTGGTAATGCTTTCCGTAACACACCAAGGGGTATCTGATTTCAGTAATCAAGGTGGAAATCAAGCTTCACCTAGCAACAGTCTGACGTTCCAAGCCACCTGTGTGCTGACAAAGCCTAGAGGATTTTGTTAATCTTCTAGTGCAGTAGCCAAGGCAGCTCCAAGCAACCACTGGCTCCACAGGCAGCGTGGCTCAGGACAGCAGCCAAAAGGGAGTCACTGATGAAACAAAGCAAGCTCAACACCGAGCTCTGGGGTCAGGACCAGTGCCAGAAGGACTATCTGACCTCACGTGGAATAGCATGGAGAGCTTGGGGATGACATGTCTTTAATGGGCCTGTGAAGAGCAACCACATCTGTGTCAGCCTCAACTACCATGTGGGTGCATTAGAGCCAGTCCCTATTTAACACACACCAGCAGTACAAGCCCAAACATTATTATCCTAATTGGTAGAAAACTTAACTGCATCTTACCATGGATTATAAGTACTTGTGCATACTTTATTCACAAAGTATAAGATCTAGAATTCCTAAAAAGCACACCACAGGATCTTAGTTTAAGGCTGGGTAATTGCACACATACAGGAATTACAAGGTTTGGAATAAAAGACAAGCAGGTATGGGAATTTTCTGGACCAAGAGCCATGGGTGAAGTGCAGTCAACTTCATTTCAGCTTGCATCCTGGAGCCTTATACAAATTGCAAAGTCAGTTTAATTACTTAGTTTATTTCTTTATGCTTTTAGAAATAACTATGGCTGGATAGAACAACAAATAGCAGGAGGCGAGGGCAAACTGCTTGTAGTCCTTCACTCATCCACTACTGCATACAAAACAAGCATCACAAGAATTATTCACTGGCCCATTTATGATGTCTGGCACTGAACACCTCCTCTAGGCTGATGCTCATCATCTTCATACACTTCTCCATTATAGTGGTGTTTTCGCTTTTGAGATGGATCAAAGTCCACTAATTCAACCTGTTCCATTTCCTCAGTTTCTTCTATCTCCTGCCTTGTAGGTAGCAGTTTTTCGAGTAAGGACAGCTTATCTGAGGACAAGAAGCCACTCTCTGGGAAGATGACCTGAAATCATCAAGAACTAAGGTTACTCCAGTCTATCTGAACTGTTTTTTTATTAGGTCAAATAGACCTACAGGTTAAGAATCTGCCAAAGTCAGCTTTGTTGTCATAGATGACTTCAGTTCACAGTTTAAAGAAATAGTCAACATCACTAAGCTGTTCTTTAATGCCTGCACAAAGTTGCCTTCTAATTCTGGCAACTCAATCAACACTTTTTTTCTGCCTCATGCTGCCCTCTGGAATCAAGCATAGAAAAGTATATATTTGTAATATAATAGCACATAGAACCACGTATTTATAACAGCATATACAACTACATATTTAAATATATATAAAAACAAACGTCAGCATTAGAGAGGTGTGGTTAAATACATTCTAAGCTGTAGCAGATGTGGCCCACTACTACAGCTCCCAGCATTAGCTTCTCCCCAGGGAAGAAAATCAGCATTTTCCAACCTACTCTACTGCTCTAGCACAATAGTTGAAATTACTCATGCATCCTTCCTACAGGACAAAAGAAACTAAAGAATAGAAACTAAAGAATAAACTAAAGCAAATGGAAATTCACCAGGTTGCTGAAGAAACTCCTCTGGTACCTAATGTACTTTGAGCACATAGTGTTCTGCAAGTTTTCTCTTTGAACTGTAATTCTGATGAGTTTCATGTTCCCACCATTGTAAAGAACAATTATCAGAACAGGATATCTGATTATTGTATCTCTTCTTGACTAAGTTAGTGCTTTTTGGTTAAATTTTGGATGGATGCTCAGTCCTTAAATGCTGTGGAAGTATGTTGATACACTTACCCTGAATTCTATGATCAGACGTCCCTTTTCGTATGGTCTGCGATAAATTGGCATACCTTCATTCAACACACACTTAATAGCCCCATGCTCAACAACCTGGCCTAAAAAAAAATAAATTAAATTACCAAAAAAGGGAACAGAAGCAGCTTTACTTTCCCTTCAATATTTATGTAGCTTTCTACACTGTGGTTAGGGGCAGCAACATCAACATGCTAACAGGAACTTACTGTCTGGTACTTGCCTGGTAACATCTGAGTAGGAAAGCAGATTGATGTCTACATTACATTCCTGTAATCTTGTTATGCTTCACAAAGGAAACATACTTGCAAACTTATTAAGTGCTCCATCACTTCCAAGGCTGAAAAAGTGGTTTTCAGACACCCACAGCCTTCATTTCTCATGGGATATCCTTGGGATGCAAGTATGCCCATAAGCTAAGGTCTATTACTATGTCACACAAAGAGATACTGCTGACTGCTATGCAAAAAATCCTTTTTTATTTTAAGATTTGTACTGCAGACTGGGGCAAAGAATTTTATGCCAGCACACACCCCCTTTTACATTAAGACGGGGTGCTTCTGTTCCTTTAGATTTCCAGCTTATGTTCACTGTATGCTAGAACTTCCAACAGAAAGCAAACCAGCTCTTACCAGGATGGGAGGTAATAATAATAGTTCTGTTATCCAGCGTTGTGATAGGCTTTTGAAAGCCACATAGTGCTTCAACCAGTTGAATATCCATAGACAGAAGCAGATCTTCTTCTCGTCTAAGGCAGAACCAATCAACAACAGTAACAGTGAGAGAGAAACAGCAAAAGAACCATACCCAACCTCAATATTTAGCTTGGAAATAACAATAAGCTGCAATTATAACAGAAACCCAGGCAATTAAACAAAGAATACCAAATATTAATGTGGCTCCTCAATTACTAGAATGATACCCACTCTGAGAGCCATTATGATCATATCAAACTATCTAAAGTGTTATAAGTGTTTATTGAAAAGAAATAAATTCATCACGGCCCACTTAATCCAGTCTCACATCACTGCTCCTTACCAATAAAAAAAAAAGACCAAAAAAAAAACCCCCAAAAAACCCCTCAGCCTCATAAATACTGAAATTGGGACAATTCCTTTCTTTGTATAGATAAATACCTTCTTAATTGCACTAGTTTGCACTATGGTACTCTGAAGATTTATTACCAGGGAAGTTTAACAGGTGATGGTCACTCTGGGTAATGACACAAGCACCTTTTAAAAACTACCAAAAAGGATCTGGAATAGACAGCGGTAATTAGTTTGTGTTTTGATTCAGTATGGCAATGCTAATGGTTGCCTACCTGTTCAAAGGCTACAAAATCTTATTCAAAGAACGTAGAGTACTCACCCTGTTTTTAGAAAGTCTCTGGCAGGAGACTTGAACAAAAAGCTAATTTTAGACTCTGACAGAAGAGCAGGAACATCCCCCTTCTGTGAGAGCACAACCTCAGCATAACCCCGCAAGACCAGTAATATCAAGGGTTATTGAAGGACACTAGAACTGAAGGCAGTGGGCAGAAGGATAGACAAAAATAATCTAGCAGAATTGTGACTTCAAGTCCCTGGAAACCATGAGAGCAGTTTGGCATATCTGAATCAGTGTCTGGTTTCACTGGAGGTTAAGAAAAATCAGCTGAGTAAGCTCATCCAAAGCAAACAGAAGTGATTCTTAACCTGTGAGCTCAGTGTTCCTTGGCACAGAACTCTGGCACCAGCTTCAAGAGCTCAGCACCATACATGATAGCTGGGCAGACCAGCTGCAGGTTTCCCAAGAACCTCTGGCTCACCATTCCTATTTACAAGCACAAGGTCAATGGTTGGTGTTGAAACAACTAAGTGCTTTCTCTAAACCCACCGATTCCCTTGTAACTGCTCTGAACAGCAGCAGTGAGACAACAAATGCAGCACTCTTTTGTGAGATCATCAGCGGTGCTTTTAACTGGACCAAAATATACCAGACAGACTATTTCCACAAATAGGAACACGAAAGAGAGGCGTGCACCACTGAGCAGTATTGCCTGGGAACATGAATAGTTGAGATGTGGTCACTGCTACGCAAGTCACTTTTGCTTTCACAATAAAAACCAGACAGCACCAATTATCCTGCCCATAGGACTCGGGCAGGAAATGAAGTGTGGGAAAACATTTGATCACAAGGGTTCGTGCTACACTGACTATGTTTGTCCTAAGTAAGATTCATGAACACATGTGCACACACTCCAAGTCTTCCATGCCTCGAGGTCAAGGAGACAACAGTTGACTACACTAAATGGCAATTTTCTGAGCTAAGTAATTGAGAGCAAGGAAACAGTTGCAAATATTCAAAATTACAAGAAATGTCAGTATTTAAATGAACTCTTAAAATTAAAGATTTATAAACTCTTAACTGTAACTGCTTTTGTTTGCCTTCTATCCCCTTTTGCTGCCAAAGCTCACAGGAGATTACCTCATGCTCATTAGAACACAAGTGGCCAGACTAGCTGCACAATAGTTCCCCCACCTCTGAGCTCCTCTGACCCCCCAAATTTACGGCTGAGTGACAGTCATGTGATCCTATCTCCTGACACTCCTGTACATACAAGATGAGTGGAAACCAAGAAAGCACGTGGAAAAACATCACAGAACACAACACAAGAGAATTTCAAACGTCTTTACCTTGTAAATAGAGAGTGGTCTTTTTGATCCAAGACAATAATAATATCCCCTGGCTCCAGACCTGGCTCTTGATCCCCTTCACCATGGAATGTTATTTTCTGACCATCCTTCATTCCTATTGCAAAAAAAAAATATGCATTTTTTTTATTTTTAAGACAAAAGCACCCCAAACAAACACTTCTAATAGACATGAGCAGGTATCAAGATATCTCTTGATCTTTAAGCAAGAACATCAGGATCTTCCATTGAAGCATTTGTTTGTTTTTTTTTTAATCTAAACACTTGTTCAACAGATCTTAGTGGTGCTAACCTGAATTCAGTGTTATGTCTCAAGACCATCAAGTTTAACTGTACTGCCAAAACAGCCACCAACATGAAGTCCTGATGGGAAATATCATCAAAACAGCTTTCATTATACACACAAATACAAAAAAGAAATCAGAAACACTGTATACAAACAGCACTTCAAGAGCAACTGACCACTCAGCTTATTCAGTTTTACAAATACTTAGCACATCTCTTTATGAAACATCATCTGGGCCTGCCAAGTCCAAGAAGCATTCCCCATGGACTGAAAACCTCCTTTAAAAAACTTGTTTCACCCACACAAGAAGTCTATCTAACAAAAATACTAGTTGTCTTATGCTGTATCAGTCTCTTTTCCCTTCCTTCTAAAAAACATTCTCATAAGCCTTCCACGTTCAAAATACCAGTAATATATCCCTTCTAGTCCTCTTATTTACAATCACAGGATTGTAAAACAATAGGATTTCCCCTAGAAATTCAAGCATTTCTTAAGCTGAATGTAACATTTGCAGGCCATAATCGTTAGCAAGTCTGTAAAGGCCGTGTACTTGTCAGCTTGCTCTTACAAGCTGCACTACTCCAGAGACTTCTCCCACCAGCTTCTGGGCAGCCCCCTCAACAGAGATGCATTTGTCACTCAATACCATTACATTCATCCATCATGTTGAGGGTTTGTGTACTGAGTTGAATTTTGCCAGGCAAGGAAGTAGTACCTGTGCTAAGCAGCACTGACAGGGTTGTGTAACCAACAGAGTTCTAAGCGAGAGGCTTAGCACTGTCTTTGCACCTTATCACTATAGCAGATCTGGTTCCCCTTCACACTGAAACACAGCAGAAGAGATCGCAGCCTGCAGGGTTTTGCTGCAGGCAGTGAAAACTAATTAGGCTACCTGATCACAAACTGGGCTTACAGGGACCTGAAAAATAATTCACTGCTTACAATAATGCAAGTTTCGGAACTCATTCTTAGTCACGTGCCAGGCTTTAAAAATGATAGTCATTCCCTAGAAACAAGTCTACTCTTTTTAAGGCAGCAATAAGCAATTTTACTGTGTACAAATTCAACACTGTTACTCACCAAATCAACACCACATATTTGTTAAATCTTCTGTTTTAGTGCTGTAAAGCGAGTCAATTCAGTACATCCAAGTTCAATACTTCACCTCAGTAAGACACCTCACCTTTGTCAATATGAACTTCTAGGATCTTCTTCTCTCTAACAATTTTTCTGCCATTGCAGCTCTTACACCGGTCCTTGGGGCTGATACGCTCCCCATGCCCCTGACACTCCATACACACAGACTGGATCTGTTGCACCATTCCTGGCCCAATCTGGTGAATTCTGATCTGCATGCCTGTTCCCCTGCAATTAGGGCAGCATTCTACTGCACCTTTCTTACCACCACGACCTGAGAACAAAAATTGGAAGTGGTTATGTACTACCAGAAAAAAAAACCAGCCCCAAAAGCTTTAAGAACATCTTCTGTTTAGTTTTTGTTTCAATATTACCTTCACATTTGTCACAGATAACGTTTTTCTGCAGTGCAAGTTTCCTCATTGCACCATTGTACATATCTTCTAAACTTACTGACAACTGGTGGACCACGTTTTTGCCTGTAAAAGAACACAGGTATTTAATCAAGTTTAGAAGCTTGGTCTGCACATCTCCCTGCCAAGCCATGATAAGCCTATTCTTTGGGCTTTAACATCTTGTTTCAATAGAGCTTTGTCTTGTTTTGCTTGTATTGGTCAAAAGCCCCTTCCCAGCTGCTGTCGTATTAGGTAACAGTTGTTATGACACTGGCTCTGTTCAAGTCAGGAGAAACATCCTGGAAAAGTACAAACAGTAACAGTAACAGAACATACAGAACCTCAGACATTCAAGTTTTACAATGCAGGACTCTGGTTTTAACAAAGTTACCAAACAGATCTCCTACAAACAAGTGAGAGACTCTGTTTGGAATCTTCAGCACTTCTGTAATTTCTTCCTCTCACCAGGTGACCTTCTGGAACCAGAAACGAGCAATTAGATTTTTATCCTCAGGCACTCCTTAGCACTTCAGCTGCTGTAGGCTTAGTTTTGTAAAGAATGCTCAGCTCTTGGTTGTTCCAAGTATTTTGACACGACACTCTTAACACTCCCATGCAAAACATTTTTTTCTTCCTTTTTCACCAGATCTGCACTAAGAGGTGATGGGATCAGCACTGCTCTTAACAAGTTTAAAGTTTTTCCCAGCGTGATTAAACCGGAGCTTAAGTTCTATGTAGCATTTTACTGCAGCTTCAACTTAACTCCACTGCACAATGCAGGAAGACAGAAAGGTTTCACAAACTGAACTGGATCTTGGGTGTCTTGTTTAGATAGCTCCTTTTAGACGCTACATTTACAGTACCTTCGTTAACAAGCCATTTTAAACTACTTTGCCCTTCCATTTCCTACTCTGTCTATTACTAGCTGGGCTTACACTCAGCTAAAGGTTCTCCGAACACATCTGGTTAGCTATTAACAGGAGACAATGCACATGAGACCAAACTGCCATCGTACCACGCAAACGCCCTCTCTTGGGGTTTCAGGCGTAAAGGCACAACAGTTTCCTGCAATTTTCAGATTAAGCCTATAACTTAAGTTTAACCCTGTTTAAATTCCTACATCTACAGCATTCTCCTCAGAGAATCTGATACCCCTGCTGACACGTTACCTCTCCTCTCCCTCTGCATCCTCCCTCCGCCGCCGAAGAACATATCGAATATGTCCATGGGTGAACCGAAGCCGCCGCCGGAGCCGCCCTCCTTGATAGCTTGCTCCCCTCCTTTGTCATACAGCTCCCTCTTCTTCGGGTCCGACAGCACTTCGTAAGCTTGCGAGATTTGCTTGAACTACAGGAAGGAACAGTCACCGGCACTTAGATAACTGCAGCACCCCCGGCGGGACCCCCNGCCTAGCTGCGCCGCCGCACAGGCCGGTCTGCGGCCCGGCCTACTCCACGCTACTGCGCCTGTGCCAGGACCCGGCGCCCACCCTCGTGTCCGCGGGCAGAGTGCGCCTGCGCTGGGCCACGCGCCGCGGCGGGAGCCGCTACCTGGTCACGTGGAAGACGCGCTGCAGCAGCTGATTGGCTGCGGCGGCTGCGGCGCGAACGTCGCGCGCGCGGTAAGGGGGGGGGGGGGTTCTGTCCCAGTGTTGCCATGGGAACGGGGCCTACGGGAATGGGTGTGTGGCAATGCCGGTGTTGCACTGGGGACGGAGCCTTGATTTCCGCCGGGATGAGCTCACCACCACAGAGCTGGGAGGAACAGCGCCGAGCACTGGGCAGGGTGAGGGCTGGGGATCTTTGCCGTCCAGGGTCAAATTAGTGTAAACTTGAAGGTTTCATAGCGTGGTCCGTGTGCTGATCGTTGCTGGATGAAGCTGTCCTGACTCTCGTCATCTCTTTTTTTGGTGGTTAAGTTAATCTGTCGGGTGAACTCTGATTCAGTGGGAAACAAACTGAGCTTTTTTGTGTCTAGGCTCTTCTGTCAGATGGAACAATCAATTCACTCGATATTTCCCATATATGGATGCGAGAATGTATGGCAGTGTAGGAAGGAATACAGGATTGCTCTTTCAATAGCAGCCTGCTCTTAGATTGCACAAGTGCTGGTGACGTGCTCTGCCTTGAATTTCAGGAACACGAACCAAGTTAGCACAATTGGCTCAGCTAATGGATGGGCTGGCAGCAGAATTCATGGACCCTCTTCTACAGGAAGGTGGGCCATCGGGAAGTGGCGTGTTGGTAACACACTATTTGTTTTGCTTTATAGCACAGTGATGCACGTGTGCTGGCTCGTGGGGAAAGAGAAATGCACTCAGCGTGTGAAACTACCACACTTGGAAGCCGTGGTAATTGGGCGCGGCCCAGAGACTGGGATAACGGATAAAAAGTGTTCACGGCAGCAAGGTAAGGTGATTTAGCTCAAATCCTGCTTTCTGTGTGCAGCAGTAGCTGAGCTTGCCTTGTTCCTCGGTGTGGTCTGCAGTGTTGCCTGGTTCTTGAAGTCATCAAGCCTATTTAATAAGCACTTACAGAGATCTCTGGGACCTAAAAAATCAGAGACACCCAATGACAAGATGTCCACTTCCATAAACTAAAGCATTGAACCTTAATGTGAGTTCCCAGGCCCAAAGTTGTGCTTCACTGCCTGCATACCTGCTTTGTGAGCAGCGCTTCTTCTCCCTAGTACTACACCAAATGACGTGTTATTTTATGCATAAAATAATACGATATTGGAGAATATATGAAAACACCTGTCACCTATACAGTACTGCACACCTTCCCTGCCTTCTGAGACTCTGGACACAGTTTTGCTCTATGCCTGATTGTCACAAATGGCTGGTAAGAATGTCAAGAATATGTATAAGACATCAACAGAATCTACCTTTGTTCTGGAGTGATTCCACTCTTGGCTCAGTGTATGGGTTGGCTCTGTTTTAATTGCTGTCCGAGAAAGAAGAGGTGAGGCAGAAATATTCTTGGCATACATTCACAAAGATCAGCTCTAGAAAGAAACAAATCTTCAAAAAGAGGAGTGTTTTCTACACTGGGTAGTTCAGCAGAGTACTTTTTATATTTACATTGTTTTATGACACTTTGTTCTTTCTTTTCCAGTTCAGTTAAAAGCAGACTGTAACAAAGGGTATGTCACAGTTAAACAGGTATGTTTTTATTTATGGGTTTACAGTATTTCTGATACTTACTGACATAGTTGTACTTAACTCCACAAATGCTCCAAGTGATGATTCTGATCACTGGGTCTGAGGGACCTGAAGCTTTCTTATCACCAAGGGAGGTTGTAGCAAGTGGCCCTCAGAAGTCAACTTTTTTCTTTGTGCACCTCAATGAAAGACTGCAAATTCCTTCAAGATATGCTCCAGTCTAAGACAGCCAGACTTGCAGTATCAGGGAATGCTGTTGTCAGTCCTCAATCAGGTCAGGTGCTGTATTTGAGAGACTTTGGACTTCCTCTACTAAACTTGCTTATCTTCCTCCTGAGCCTTATGTTTCATAAGCTGAGGCAGCCTTTTGTATAAGGTTGGAGTTCTTGTGTTAATGGGACTAGGCAGTTTTAGAAGATTTTTTGTTAGTGGGGTGGTAGAGCCAGAGATGTGGTTACTTATGAGAAGGGATGGGATGTGAGACAGCACTGCAGGAATGCTCGTGTTACTGAATGGATGGAGGTAACTACTCCCTCACAGTTAGGAAACCCAGTGTCTCTTAAATAATATGAAGGGAAAGGTTTCTGGTGCCGGTGTTTGTCTGTGTGCCCGCAGCATCAGCCAGTGTGGACAGCACAACAACATGTTCTACCTACTGAGGGGTAATGTCTTCTCTCAAAATGCCTCCAGAGCCCACTAAGCACAGGCATATCATGGGTTTCTGATGAATCTGGCAGAGGTATTGAGGACAGTTTTTCACAGAAATCAGCCCTAGTCATGATTTCAGTATTGTGTTACTGGAATCTCAGTATGGGGAATACTTTCTGGTGGAGGGTGCTAATATGTTTTCTCCACCTGTTGAAGAGTTGTTCCCCAGATGACAGGTGTGTGGCAGAAGGTTCCAGTGATCTCTTGTTAGATTTTTCATTTGCTGATGGGAAGCATCCTTGACCTGAGCGAAACTGCAAAGCTCTAGACTAAAGAGATCCTGGCTGAAATCAGGTGTATGCTTCATTACAGTGAATACCGAGAGAGGTATAGTACCATCTTGTGAAGCATGCAGGTATGGCAGTGACAAAGCTGTTAAAATACTCTCTGACTGAATTAAACAGTCACAGGAGAGAGCTGATTTCCTAAAGCCTGCTTCATGCATAAACATTAACCAAAAGCATTTTGCTGAAGAGTCCTAATTTTTGTAGCGTCACCCACGTGATGAGGCAAAATCCATCCATCAAGCAGTCACTGTAGGCTGCCTACACCACAGTGTGATTGCACTAAGATAAGTCAGTAAAACTGCCGTTACTCCACAGAAATAGTTGCTGCTGTTACTAGTTGTTTAATAGGTTGCTGATATGTGAGGGAAGTGCAGCATAAGTGACGCTGTAACTCTGTAGCTGCTGCAGACCCAGGTTGCCTTTGACACCAGGCCCTGAGGTTGTGTGCTGACAGCTGTGACTGCAGCACTGGGACAGAAACAGATGTCCACGGTACTGCGCTGCCTGATCTGCTAAAGCAGGTTGATGTGGGCAGTAAATACAAAATGCATTTGCTTTCCAGGGTAGTGGTATTCCAGGAGAACTGGGCAGAAGCTGGCAATTCCACTTACAACATCATTTTCTACTATTTTTTCCTCTTTCTGTCTACCAAAGATAGGAGTCAACCCAACTAGTGTTGATCTTGTGAATATTGGCAAGGGTGAGGTGGTGAAAATGAAGCCAGGCCAAGTTCTGCATATTGTGAATAACCTTTACCCCTACACGGTACAATTTGCCGAAGAGTCTGGAAGAACTGTTCCGAAAGCAGATAAGATGCCACGTGAGGACTGCTGTGAGAATGATGATAAAGAGCTTGTGCCCAGAAAAACAATGAAGTTGGAGTTGGTGGATACACAAGGCAGTTCTACAAATCCAAAGCTAAGCAATATCAGTGTATCTACACATGAAGGAACTTCAAGCAAAAAGGCAAGTGTTTTGGTATTAATACTTGTGCTGTTTCTCCTGGGTCTTTTACTTTTGTGGATTCTGCTGGTGGCAGGAATCTCAGGTGAACACAGATCCTCAAAGTATACAGGGCATGAGAGGTGTTATGTACTCCTGACATCATCCAGACCCTAAGAAAGTTACTTGGTACCCATTCTAACCTGACCTGAGGGTTAGGTGTTTGTGAGAGGGCTTCCCTGTAGCAAATGAGGATTTAATTTCTAGTTTCTGCTGCAGTTTCTGCTAGAAGGACAGGCCACGTGAGCTCCATTTAGCTGGAGTCATCCAAGGACACTGTGCTGGCTCTTGAGTGGTTATCTAAAAGCAAGTGCATGGAGAACAGAACAACCTGAGCCTTTTTTTGTTTTCAAGTTAGTTTTTTTGTAATTGCATGGGGCTTTTTTTCTTCTCCTGCTTTGTTCATTCCATATGTCAGAACCATGTTTACATTAGTGAATGTTACCAGCCAGAATCTTTGAAAGGGAGTTTTTAGCCCTGTGACATGGTCAAAATAAAAGACCTTAATGCATTTGGAACTAGTGCAGTGCTGGAGGAGAAGGCACAAAAATAAAACCCCTTAAGACAAAATTTTAGTCTCAGGTTGCTGTGAGTTAACTACTTACTTCATTTGTAGACTTGGGCTAGTTCTATTAGGACCAGATTTGTGGTGGAATGAGCAGGGAGATGATGACTCACACTGTTTCCCTGCCAGCACTATGAATGTCTTCCTTTATAAGAATATGATGAATTTCATTGCTGATGTGAATAGCTAAAACATCTGTTTTGAAAAAGGTGCACTCAAGGCACACCTTTCAGCAGGTGTTTAATAGCCAGGTTAAGAAATAGTTTGTGTTGGCTTGATCTTCCTGTACCTTTCTTGATTTCTCTACAAGCCACTGCACAATGTAAAAAAATCAATGCATCTAAGGATAAGGCTCCACACTGCAACTACTTTGTTCTGTGCTGAGCAGCATGGGATAGGACAGTTAATGGAGATCTTTGTTCTTTCTTTGATTCTTGTGATCCCTGAAGCAGATGGTCTTGTGCCAGGACATGTGCAGGCAAATTATTAAATTTAAACACGTTTATAGCTCCCTGTTGTTGAATTTACAATGTTTGGAAGATTGAACTTTCCATCTTCACAGTACCTCATTAAATATTTTCAAAAGTGGCTTTTTGGGGGCAATTGGAGCAGGTGTGTTGGCATTTTATAGAAGGGAAATAATTGAGCTGTCATTCAGCTGTTATTGTGTGGCTATTGTACTGCTGTAGACTAATGAATGATCTTAACTGAATCCTTTAAAATATATAATATATATTTAATAATGATAATAAAATATATAATATATAATTAATTATTTTATAATTTATTTTTCCCATTATGTGCTATAGGAACATTTAGGACACTGGAGTCAGGGTCTAAAGAGCTCCATGCAAGATCCAAAAATGCAGGTAAGAGCTGTATATTTGTACTTTACAGTAGATCCTGCCTAGCAAAGCTAAGTGTGAGCTTTCTTCCTTCTGCAGTTTGCTTTAACAATCTGGTTAATCAGTGGAGTCCTGCATAAGGGCTGAAATATACTTGCATCTCTCTCTGTAGTAACATTAATTTGGGAGTCTCTACTGTACTGATTTTGTAAAGTGTCATTGCCTTAATTATCTTTGAGCTCTCTCATAGAGAGAGCGCCATTTGGCCAACAGATTTCAAAAGGGTTGATAGGAGAGCAGCAGGCAAGCTGTGCAGTTGCTTTATTTCCTCAGGGAAACCAACTAAAATGTTGTTATCATTTGAAGCTGAGCAAGCTACAGAGGTTCCCATTCTCCAGCAGTCAGCACTGTCTTGTTTCTTAGTGCAGTTTCCTGGTTTCCAGCAAATTCTTAACTTTCACACCTTTATGTCAGCTGACAGGATCTGCCCCTGGCTTCACTGGGCCCCTTCAGATGATGATCACTCTCAGTCTGAAAATAATTTAGAGTCACAGTGTATGTTAGAAGGGACCTGTCAGGATCATTGAACCAAACTCTTAGCCCTGCACAGGACATCCCCAGAAATCACACCATGCATCGGAGAGTGCTTCTTGAACTGTCTGACCTGGTGCCATGACAGCTTCTCTGGGGAGTCTGTTCCAGTGCCCAGCCACCTTCTGGGTGAAGAACCTTTTCCTGATATCCAGCCTAAACCTCCCCTGATTCAGCTTCAGATCATCCCCTCAGGTCCTGTCGCTGGTCAGCAGAAAGAAGATATCAGTGCCTGCTGTTCCTTGTCCCCTCACAAGGAAGCTGTAACTGCAGTGATGTCTCCCCTCAGTCTCCTCCAGGCTGAACAGACCAAGTGACCTCACTTTTCCTCATATGGCTTCCTTTCAACACCCTTCACCATCTTCTTAGCCATCCTTTGGACACTTTCTAAGAGCTTTATACCTTCCATTGTGTCACCCAGACCCACCCCAGCACTCGAGGTGAGGCTGCCCCAGCTCAGAGCAGAGCAGGACAATCCCTCCCTTGCCTGGCTGTGATGCTGTGCCTGATGCACGCCAGGACACAGGTGGCCCTCCTGGCTGCCAGGGCACTGCTGAACCATGTTCAGCTTCTCACTGGCAGGACTCACAGGTCCCATTCCATGGAGCTGCTCTCCAGCTTCTTGCTGCCCAGTCTTTTTGTATGTGCAGGGTTGCCCCATCCCAGGTGCAGAATCTGGCACTTTCCCTTGTTAAACTTCTACCAAGCTTTCTAATTAGTCCAGCTCTCTCTGCAGGGCCTTCCTACCTTCAAGGGAGTTGACAGTTCCTCCCAACTTATCATTGACAATCAAGTTTTCTTGTGTCATCAAGTGTCATTGGCAAATTAGTTTTCTATTCCTTCCAGTCCTGTGTCCAGGTCATTTACTGAAATGTTGAAGCGCACAGGGCTGTGGAACCCCATCAGTGACAGGTCACCAGTCTCACATCACCCTATTCACTGTAACCCTTTGTGCCCAACCTGTGAGCCAGTTCCTCACCTGACAATTAAACAGAAGGCTCCTATTTCTTCATTGTTTTTTTTTATTAAATTCAAGTGTGAGGTGTTGAACTGCATAGATTTACAGGAGAACTGTATGCCTATTGTCTTAGAATTGCTAGCACTTTCCAAGGAGTCTATCTATAGGGGATGATAAAACTATGGAAATTCTTCCTTTTTAAATATGAAGCTTAATTTTTATCCCTGACGCAGAATTCTATATACTTATCAAAGCAGGGATTTCTTGACCCAAAATGTAAGCAGGTTTTAAAACCGTTCTTTTAATGTTAGGCACAAATAAAATAGCTTTTTATGAGTGAACGTTAGCTTTATTAGTTGTAGTTTCAGTCTGAATACACAAATAATAGAACTCCTATCTTTTCTTTTTAATGAAATATTAAATGGCAGTATTTATTTCTTTCTTCTGAAAAGACTTGGAAGTGATCTTGTTCCTACTGGCAGCAGGAGCAGACACTATTTGATGTGTATAAAATATCTTGCTGCTGAAAGAATCAGTCTTACGATTTGTGTACCAATAGAACTTTAATCTTCCTTCCTGTAGAGTAAGACTGATTTATATATAAACATGCAAGAATGATTAGCAGAGGTGACGTAGGCATCATCCATCTCTCATCAGCAGGTGCACTGCTAAGAGACCAGAGACACAATACACAGCTTCTGCATCACAACCTGATAGCTTTTTCTTGCTGTCCACAAACTTCCCAACCACTTCTCTTCCTCAGCTGCATTGAATTGTTGCAGAAGGCAAAACAAAATGAAGACAGGAAAAAGGGCATGATGGACAGGAATCTGTTCCCCTTCTTGTGAGTGATCTTACAAAGCAGCACACTGGGTAGGATGAACTGCAATAGCTCAGACTTCAGTATTTCTGTCTTTGTAATGCTGGTGGAGGTCTGTAGCACATTGCTGGTAGCACATCTGAGATTTCACTCCACATATCTTCAGCCTTGTGTTCTGTATTAAGTACACAGACAAGTGGTTTTGTTTGTGGCTACAGAGCTTGACTATAGCCTGTTGGAATTAGAGTTCCCTAGGCCTCACTGGTATCTCAGTCCAGGTGATTTTCAAGAGTTCATACGCACCTGTAGCTATGGTTAACTTACTACAAAGTAAGATCAGAAAACTTTTTCCTTTTGTAATAAATTATATGAAAAAGGATGCTTGAACACCTCTCTATAGCTGTCTGGGATATGTTACGGAAGAGGGTGCTTATCCTGGAGGAACTTACTTCTAGCAAAAGTTCTCGTTGGATACCATCTCTCCACTAAATATTGTGTTTATAGAAATAATGTACTTAACTTTCAATCTAGTTACTTTGTTTTTTCAAAGGTTTACAAAGATGAAAAGACTGTAGTCATCAAGGATAAATATCCCAAAGCACGTTACCACTGGCTTATCTTACCATGGGACCCCATTTCAAGCCTGAAGTCAGTCACCAGGGACCACCTTGAACTCCTGGAACATATGCATGCTGTTGGGCAAAAAATGATCGAACAGTGCCCTGCCAGAGAGAGCCTGGAGTTCAGACTGGGTTATCATGCTATTCCCAGTATGAGGTAATGAAGGAGACGGGTTCGGGAATCAAGAGACGACTCAGTATGAGTTAGCTGCTTGTTCCACTTTATTGCACTTTCAGCACCAGTTTTATAGCATTAGTAAGATAACACACAACACTTGTTCTGTAATGATTGGATAGTTGCTGTTGTTCATGCGCTAATTTCTACTTTATTATTGGTTTAGCTCATGACACACGAGCCTCAGAAGATACATTTTGTGTTTAGCTACATCGTGAATTCTCATCCTGTTTATTGCCACATTAGCACTTAGTTCCTTCTTATCTTTGTTTGAATGTTGTGCCAAGGACTCATGCTAACTCAAAGTCAGGGTTGTGCAGGCCTTCCAAGGAGCCGTGGCCCAAGAAGGAAGCCATTCCCCTACAATTCCCTGTTTTCCTTTTGCACAACCATGACACTGGTTACTTTCACAAGCAAGTGTTTCGTTATGGATATTGCACAACTAATACATGCTAGTCCGATGATAGCAATGCAAATGATTAATAGGCCTGTTTTACACAAACTCTTAACCCGTCCTGTCAATCCAAACCAATTAGCTAGGCCATCAATCCCAAAAAATCCCACGTCTTCCTTTATTCTCTGGGTATGATGGATAAACTCTTGAATTTCTTTGTGGATGGATTTTAAGTGATCTTGTAAATCCATACAACACATACCTTCAAAGTTTTCACATCTATGGCCATGTGCTAACAAAAAATCAATGGCTGCTCGATTCTGTGGTACTGCGTGCTGCCCTTGTGACAAATCATCAGCTAATTCAGAAAGTACTCTGCTAGTACCATTTGCTTGTTTCACAACCCAACAACTAAGTTTTTGTATATGGTGATACACCCTAGTGGTGGCAGTACCACCACTAGGTAAAAAAAGCAGAAGCAAAAAACACTTGCCAGGCATTCCATAAATTCAAATCATCATCACAGTCAGAGCTCAAAATTTGACTACGATCTCTCTTCCGTCTGACATGATGTGTTCTATTAGGATGATGGTGTGGAATCACCATGCTGAGTTGTCCAATTGTACAAGGGCCTCCAACAGGTTGCAATGGGATGCCTGCCCATGCCCTATTGCCACAAATTAAAAAATAACCCGTTGGTAGTCTACGAGGGAATTGAGTCCCAAATACAGGGTTTGATGTATTCCTCACCATTTTAGCACACCACTGGGAAAAATTGCCAAGTGGGCTTGTCAACGTGGTGATGTTAGATTGCCCACATCCTCGCTCAGTGCCTTCTGCACACGGGCTTTTGCTGGCATTTAGGTAAATACAATAAGCGGCATTTAATGAATCTGCTAAGTCAATTTCTTGAGGTTCAGGGCCTTCCAGGAGGCGATCATCCCAGATACCGTAATTCTCCATACATTGTGAAAAGTTGTTATATCCATTCCCTAAACGCCTTGTCTTAAAAGTGCCCTGAGTTTCATGCGTTGCCCTATCTAATAAAGCCCATCTCAAGTCGTTCATCGTGACACCAATCAGACAAGTAATGGAGGGAGACTGAGGTGTAGCCAGACTGGCACAAAAGGTCGTAGTATTTAAACTTCTGGCAGGTGAAACCCACACATTTTCCCGTGGGTCTATGGTCTTTCTAGTTTACATGGCCATTGTCATCACGGGCAGCGTTATTAAAATGAAAGTGCCAATTACCATCTTGAGCTCTTTCCCACTGGTCATGTAAAATGGTGTGGTGTATCAGAAATGATAAGTTTTTCCCACACTGTACTGCAATTATTCCTGTTTTTTGAGCAAGTTTTGCTAAAGCTGCTACCCGCTGAATTTCAAATATTATACTGGCTCTTTCTAAGAAGCCCAAATTTTCCCACAGTGCCAAAGCTTCTGCTTGTGTAAAAGAACAATTTAAAATATACGGTAATGCAGTAAAAGTGGAGTTATGTGGTGTATTGCTCAGTAACACCTGACACACCCTCGTTGAGGTGCTGATCTCTGAAATGCCCACAAATCTCTTTTACAACCTCACACACAATTCTTATCCACAGATCTTGTGTGGCTTTACAACACTGACCCTCTGTACCCACTAGTCTTCCTATAGTCTCAAAGCAGAAAATAAAGTGCCTTCTATATGTGGATCCCTACAGTCAACCTGTACACCCAGAAGTTGATTGATGTCTCTCACTATGGGTTCAAGGGCAAGCTGCCATTGTCCGCTTTCTCGTTCTCTGGCTGCTGTACTCCAGTGTTGATGCGGTTGATCTTGGCTCACGTCCATCTGCTCGGCACCCATAACGGTCCTGTAGGGTATCAACACACATAGAGCCTCGGCCATTAAATAGGACTTTAGCTGGTCCTATCCAATGTCCTGTTTTAGGCTCTCTGTAATGAACAAACACTTCCTTAGCTACAGCACCTGATTTTACACATCCACTATGTACGACAACTGGGGGATCCTGACAATCTCCAAAAGCACTCAAATGGTTAAGCACAAAAAGGGCTTTATCTAATATCTCTCTTGGGTCAGAAATGTTTTTAAATTGATTAAGATAGTCTTTTACGGTTCTGTTGGTTCTTTCCACTCCTGCTTGCCCCATGGGGGAGTTTGTAAGGCCTCTAACATGCTCAACTCCCCATTGTTGCATTAATTTTCTAATATTGTCGCTGGCATATGCAGGGCTATTATCAGTCTTAATTCACTCTGGGACCCCCATAATGGCAAAGCATTGGGTTAAATGTTCTTTACATGCAAACTCTTTTCTCCTGTCTAGGCTGTAGCCCATACAAATTTCAAATAGGTATCTACAGTAACACGTACATATTTCAGTCTGCCAAATTCAGAAACATGGGTAACATCCATCTACCATACTTCCAGGGCTTTTATCCCTCTAGGGTTGACTCCTATCCCTATCCCTATCCCTGGTCCAAGGTGACTGCATTATGGACATGCTTGCAGAATTCCCTGTGCCTTGGAAATCGATAGCGAAAACTGCATTAGGCCTTTTGCATTCTGATGAAACTGTTCGTGAGCCATATGAGCAGCCCCAAACTGATTGAGAGGAGCTTTCCTCTGAACCCAACTAACTAATGGATCTGCAAGATGATTGCCAAGGCCTTCTTGAAATTTATGGCTTCTGATATGTATCATACAATATGGTGCCGATCTTAGTCCTGTAGCTTGCTGTACTTGTTGAAACAGTTGCATTAGTTATTTATTCCGAGTTTCCTTGATAAAGGTGTCCTCAATGCTTTGTAAGATGCCTGCAACATACAGTGAATCTGTGACTATGTTCAGGGAACAATCCGTCCACTGCCTCATGGCCCAACAGACTGCTGCTAATTCAGGTGTTTGAAATGAGTCTTCTTGTTCGGCGTGCAAAATATGATAGGTCCAAGATCCTTGTTGCTGCCATATAATTGCTGCTCACCTGGCTGTCTGTAGAAACTGTGTGTCCTTCATTTAGAGAAGTTGATGAGTGTTTAGGCAGCTGAATCCAGAGATGATCTTTCAGCATTTGAATGATTTTGCTTTTGGAACTTTGGTAGACACTTGCCCATTATATGCTAATAATGCAATCTGAAGGGGGTAAGAGTGATGCATTGTCCATTCAAGATCAGCAGCATTCATTGGAATGTGGATACTCGCCAGTTCATTTCTCGAGATGGCAACCGTGCAATCACAACCCTTCTTAATTGTCTCCCCTACTCATTCCTTTTGGGTCTGTAGGCTACACTTGGGCTGAATTGATACAAAAACCCACTCAAGAATGTAGACCAGGTACTCTCCCCTGTTTTTCTTTGCCATTGAGCAATGACGGCACACACAGATGAGGGTTGTGGAGTAACGAGCAGGCAAAGAGGTAGATTTAAGATGTGCTGTGAAGACCGGTGGCTGACAAGCAGAGAAGCAAGGTGAGAAATGCATTGTTGTTCTACCATGAGAACAATAGGAGCAGCAGGGTCAGTTCCTTTTAATAAGGGTCGCAAAGGAGCAAGATCTTCATTGGTGATGCCGATGACAGTGTGTACCCATTGGAGGTCACCCATTAAGGTCTGAATGTCTGTAAGACTGCGTAGGTCGCAGCTCAGTATTGCTTTCAGTGGATGTATTATGCTGTCACTAATCTCCACCCTAAATACTTCCATGGAACTGTTTTTTGGACCTTCTTGGGAGCAACTTGTAGTCCAGCAGTGGATAACACTTGTTTAATTGTTTCTAATTGATTATGTGTAAAAGGTTGTTCTTGTGCAATGAGAATGTCATCCATATAATGGTAAATGATGGCCTGTGGCCACTGTTCTTGTATTGGTTGCGGGGCTGTGGAAACAAACAGCTGACATATGGTGGGACTGTTTCACATTCCTTGAAGCAGTACAGTCCACTCATATCACTCACTGGGCTTTTCTTTGATTGCAGGCAATGTAAACACAAATGGCTTTGCATCTTCTGGATGTAATGGAGTAGTAAAAAAGGAGTCCTTGAAATCAACTATTAACAGCGGCCACTTTTGTGGCAGCATTACTGGTGAGGGTAGTCCTGGTTGTAAAGTTCCCGTGGACTGTATTTGTTCATTGACTTATTGTAAATCATGCAAAAGTTTCCACTTTCCGGATTTCTTTGGTATAACAAAAATGGGGGTGTTCATGGGCTGACTGATGGTTTGATATGCCTTGCATTAAGCTGTTCTTTAACTGACTCATGTGCTTTCTGCAGCCGTTCTTCTCTTAGCGGCCACTCCTCCACTCACACAGGATCATTACTTTTCCAAGTCAGCTGTAATGGGGCTGGCTGCGTTGCAGGGGCTGCTGAGTCTGGCGTAGTTAGTACCACTCCCCATTGGATTAAACATTCATGACCAATGAGGGCAAACATACCCTCTGGAAAGGGTATTGTTGCTATCGGCGGCCTTTTTTCCTTCAAGTACAAACATTAGGGGATTAGGTGTGACCGATTCAGCTGCAGACACTCTTCTAACACCGTTGATAGCAATTTTTGTCTCTTGAAGTGGCTGGTATCGCCAGACTTTACTGGAAATAATGGTAATATCCATGCCCGTATCTAACAATGCTTGCAAATTTATTTGTTCTTTTCCGGTTATAATGGTAGTCTTTTGAACAGGGCAATCTTGCATTCGTAGTGTTAAATACCCAACTGGTCCTGTTGATCCAAAGCTAGCATCTCCTCTCATGGGTTGCATAGGTTGTGATCCTTTCATCATAGCAGATAAAAGATTTTGAAAGAGAATTATTTGTGCAATTTTACTGCCTTGAGGTATAAACAAAGGCGGCTGCAGTGTATAAGCAATAATTTGAATGTGTCCAGTACAGTCTGTGTCAATGACTATCACCAAAATCCCTTTTAGGCTCACCAGTGAACGTTCTATCAACAATGCCCCATGTTTAGAAGAGTGAATTGGACTTTTGAAGGTTGTAGGTATCTTTTACGGCTGGTTGTCGATAAGGGTAACCCCTACTGCTGTTTCCAGGTCGATTCCCAAGCTACCCGTGGTTGCGGGGCATAGTTCTGCGTCTGGGGGGCAGCTACTGTTGTCTATGTGTCTAGACTGCCTTTTGCACTTTTCCGTCCGTTTCCCGAGTGCCGGCAAGCCCTGGTAGCGTGAGTATTGGATTGGCAGTTAATCCATCAGACATTGTCCATGCATTGCTTACGCAGATGCCCGGTTTTTCCACATTGAAAACAAGCACCCGTTGGTCGAGGACGACCCCCTTTCACAAGAGGTTTCAGAGCCGCAGCAAAAGCTTGGGTCTGGTTGTTTATCACATCCATCATTGTTTCATTTTGTTTTTTCACAGCACTTGCTACAGCTTCCGACAGAAACGCTGCTTGCTGTTGATATACTGAGTGGGCCATTCGTTCTAACATGGTTCCCAAATCGGCTGTGCGCGGAAGAGTAGCTAATATCATTTTGGCTTTAGGATTTGCGTTTTCGAATGCAAAAGTCCTTGTTAATTGCTCTCGTACTTCAGCAATTAAGTCTGTTGCTTGATTGAGTGAGATGACCAACCTGTTGACAGAAGAGTCAAAAGACTCATTTATTCCTTGTTTGATAGTGGTATAACTTGGTGCTTTCTCACCAGCTGGAATCCTCCAGAGGGCTTGCTTTGCGTCTTCAGCAGATGCATTATACAAGTCTGCTGGAAGTTGCAACTGCTGTGCTGCTGATGCATAGGTGCCTTTTCCCATCAGCATATCGATGGTAGCGCCATGAAGAGGATCAATCGGCTGATGTGGCAAGACTTTCTTGCAGCCTGATTCCCATTCTTGCACCCATAACACATATTGCGAAGGAGTGAGTAATAGCTTTTCTGTGGCCATGCAATCGTCAGGTGACAGAACATTCGATGCAGAAATATAATCATTTGCTTGGGGGGCTCCGAATTGAGTCCATGCTGGGTAACTGTAGCTGGCAATTGTTGCATTAATTTCCACTCAAAGTGTGAATAGCGCGCTCCTGGCTGGCCATTAGCAAGAGCCACTTGCTGCACTGGATAAGCATGTGGGGAACAGGCAGCTGCAGCTTCCCATTGCCTTTCTAAAATAGCATCCCTGATTACTCCAGACCAGTGACTGTGAGGTTCAACTGGTCGTATCTCCATTCCCTCTGAGGTGGTAATTACCGTATCACCTACTGTCTGCCCTTCACGGGTATTCAGACTGCCCGTTTTCTTTGTTATCTTTTCCAATAGTTTATCTGGTGGCTTTCTTTGTTTTGAAACCGTGACTTCGACTTTGGAGGGTATTTCGTCACCTTCATCAGCTGAACTTTCTTCCTTGGAGTCCTTTGTATGGTACCGGGAAGATGTACAGGCCTTGCCCCCTGTCCCTGTGTCGTGTTGCTCGTTCACAGGAGATAAGGGGGGTGCACTTGGTATTACTGGGGTTGATTCTGTTACCTGATTGGCAATTTCTTTTGCACTAGCCTTAATAGACACTTCAATGTCTTTTGCAGGACTAGGATCAGTAAATAAGCGAGAGCTTGATTTTGCTGGCACTTCTGTATCTTCCCCTCCCAGCATTTTTTGTGCTGCTAGTGCCATACACTTTTCAGCTTGATACTGATCTAAGGTGTGAATGACTTTCCTCCAAGTGGAAGCAAATTCTTTAGCAGTTTTACTGCCATCAATAGTAGCATCCCATAGGGAATCTCCAATCTTACGCCACTCAGTATAGCTAAAGATTTCTGTGGGACCTTGCATGAATCCCTTTTCTTTTGCCCACTTACACAACTCTTGGAGCTTTTTTGTGCTTACACTGGCCTCTTGCTTAGCGAGAAATTCTGCCAGCAGTGATAATGCTGCTTCTCTATCCATTGCCTGAGACAGCAATCTTACCGGCACTTTGGAGGACAGCCATCAGTTCCTCTTTACCTCTCTCAGGCTCTTTGTGTTGAATCCCCTTCTCTGCTTATTCTGGAATCCATTGGATTCTTAGTGCATTTCTGCAATACTGAGCCTCTTGATAAGGTCCTCAGGCAGCGTGCTGGCTTTTTGAGGTCCCTGTTTGGGTGCCAATTGAAGGAGATGGGTTTGGGAATCAAGAGACGACTCAGTATGAGTTAGCTGCTTGTTCCACTTTATTGCACTTTCAGCACCAGTTTTATAGCATTAGTAAGATAACACGCAACACTTGTTCTGTAATGATTGGATAGTTGCTGTTGATCATGCGCTAATTTCTACTTTATTATTGGTCTAGCTCATGACACAGAGCCTCAGAAGATACATTTTGTGTTTAGCTACATCGTGAATTCTCATCTTGTTTATTGCCACATTAGTTCCTTCTTATTAGCACTTAGTTCCTCCTTCTCTTTGTTTGAATGTTGTGCCAAGGACTCATGCTAACTCAAAGTCAGGGTTGTGCAGGCCTTCCAAGGAGCCGTGGCCCGAGAAGCAAGCCACACACACATTCCCCTACAAGGTAAGACCTAGAGGAGTCATGTGGTGGACATGCTGTTCTTCCGGTTACACAGATTGGGGGTTAAATCCAGGAGGAGATTTGGCATTGCTAAGGAACAGGCAGTCCTCCTCTACACTACACACAGTTTGGTGTACAGTCCTTTGCCCCACACTGCTGTATAGATCCTGATGCACAGGCATCTTGGGCACAGTGGAAAACCCCTGTTGGGCTTCTCTAGCAGAGGCTGGGGCCTGGGGCTGTGGGATGCCTGGGGTCCAGTCCCAGTTACAGGAGCACTGCTGCCAGTGCTAGGGCATCCCCCTCCCAGGGCACTTGTGTGGGATTAGAGACTGACTCCTAGACCTGTCAAGTCCTGCCTAATACTGAGCAATGATTTGAGTCTTGTGTCTAAATCCAGACCTTAGAGTCCAAGTGCCAGTTGATACTGCAGTTAGTTGTTCTCCAGTCTTGAATTAAGTTTTTGAGCCTGATCAAGTCCCATTCAATTCCTCTACAAATAATCAAACTTTGGTTTTTTACTAAACCTGTAATAAACCTTTGGTTTGCTAACACCACTGTCTCCCCCTTTTTGGCAATCAGCAGGAATATAGACTGCAGTGAGGGGCCAGTGGAATATGCAGACTGTTTATGAGTGAAATGGTTGGCAAGAGACAGTGCTTCCAGAACAGACTGTGTTTCTTCTGTCACAGGGTCAGGACTGACCCACAAGGCTGGCACTCTGCTGAATCATCTTTGCAACTGATGCAACTTATGCAGAACAACTTCAAGCATTAACCTTTTTCTCTCATATCTCCATTGTATTTTTTTTTTCAGTCAGCTACATTTGCATGTAATCAGTCAGGATTTTGATTCTCCAGCTCTGAAAACCAAAAAGCACTGGAATTCTTTTACTACAGACTACTTCTTAAACTCTCAAGGTAATGATTAGAAGAAGTATTTCATAACATATAATCCTGCTTGCAGGTTCTGGCTTTGGATTTTTCTTCCAAACAAATGTACAAGTTACACATTTTATTGCAGTAAGGGAAAAGTTTGATTTAATTTAAGACATTGAGGAGTAGGACTGAGTAAAAGTCAACAAATTTTGTGGCTGGTTTAAAATAGAATGCAGCAATGACACACTGTGCATGCAAAAGAGTGCACAAAGATTAGTAGTGTCATGTGCTTTATGATGCTGCATGGTATCAATACTCTGGTCTCTTTATTTTTATCCCCAGATGTGATAGAGATGGTAAGAAGCAAGGGAAAAGTGATGGTGAAAGACAATACCTCTGAACTTCTCAAACTTCCCCTCAGATGCCATCGCTGTAAACAACAGCTGTCCACAATCCCACAGTTAAAGGAACATCTTAGGAAACATTGGCCAAAATGATTTTGCAAAAAATCATCTTCCAGTCTGTCTTCAGATTTCAAGCCAACACAAAGACTACAAATTGTTAATGGAAATGTGTGTTTATTAACTGGAATTGCAGATATAATGTGTGGAAAAGTAGCCTGGAAACAGCAGCATACTAATTTAGTAATAGCTTCAACAAAAAAAACAAGCCCTCTTCTTCCTCCCTACTAAAAATATAAATAAAGTGATTTCTGAAATTGAAGCTTTTTGGTTGCAGCTTTATTATGGTACAGCTACGCTAATCTGTCAGTGAGTTGAAGTCTGGGAAAAGTGCTTTGTTTGGATGAAAAGATTTATTTTAATTCAGGAGCTGAACCAAGCCCAGATCTTGGTTTCCACTGAGAAGGAAACAATTATTTAGAGGTCTTTATCCTGATGTTTTCTCCCTTCCACTGAAGTTCCTCCTATGTGTTAGTGTTGCAAGCACTGGTGTGGCTGCCAGAAAGTACTGCCAGTGGAGGGGAAGGAGCAGCAGCTGATGGTCCCCACTTTGCTGTGCCACTGAAAGGCCTGACAGGTCAGTGCTGCTGAACTCTCCCTCAGCTATGGAGTGGGCTTTGCCCCTCACCAGGGTGCCAGGACAGTCACTGCTCAGGCTCTAAGGCTGGCAAACAATCTCTTTTGGGTACAAGGATGTATTTAAACATTTTATATGAAATGTAATACACAATGACCAGCTTTACTGCTCCCCAGAGTAACAATGCTATCAAGATTTGTAGCTACTTGTCTGCATAGGTTGAGGCTGGTACAGAAATCCTGTGGTTTAATCCCACTGTTTCTCTAACCAGGATTTTAGTGAGCCTCTTATCATTTGATTGTTGTGAAGATGTGAACTTGCAGAAGCAGCAGAACAGTACTAATAAAAATCTCCTGACTCCCGATCTGGTCTGTACAGTTCAAATTTGTCCTAAGCCTTAAAATTTGTCCTTTCTGACTTAAGAAAGATGCTCTGTGTGAAATGGCTTTCAATAAGAGTGCACAGAGTTTTTGCTGTACAAGCAAAGTGCTGCTCCTAACATTAACACTTTCTGTGGGGAGACAGTGTTCTCTTCTTCCATTCCCCCATGCAGCAGCACATTGCTGTACCCACTCAAATCGGGCAAATAGTAAGTTGCTGTTGCTGGAAAAGAATAAAGATGTTTCTGATGTAAAGTAGTCCCCAAAAATGTGTTCTTTCAACCTGGTATGCAAGAGGCCAATCCTCACAGAGGGTCATGTTTATTTCATGGTTGTGCGGAGATGGGTGCTGGATGGTGAATCCACAGAGACAGCAGTTCTAGCCAAGCAGTGTAGCTGAGATATTTTCAAAATACCTAAGTCTGCACTTACCTGATGTCTAAATACCTGCCTACTCAATAGCTATTGGACAATCTTTTGCCTGGTTCAATTTAAAGGTACAATGCTTTTCAAATTAATTGCGCCTGTTTAGAGATGTGGTTTTCACATTATAATGAACTAAGTTCATCTAAAGGATGCTTTTTTAGGTGATTTAATTAATTTCAGTAAAACATTTGGAACATTGCCAAATGCAGTGTTCAGTCAGTATCTTATTCAAGATTTCTGTTTGTTTCCTCTACTTGTTTCAAAACTGTTCTGCAAGACCTTGCCATCTCCCACCTTTCTGGGTCTTTTTTTTCATTCTCCTATGACTCACTGTGCAAAATCTTTTCTTAAATCATTCCATCTTTCACCAGAACAGGGTACAGTAAGGTGAAGGGTTGGCCATTACCTAATTTAAAACACCAGTCACAATTCAACTTTTGCTGACATCAGTAATAATATTCCTTAAATTACAAAATAAAGCTTAAGGGAGTAAGGAACAGTAAGAAAAGCACAGCCAGTCTGAATTAATTCTTGACACAAATTAGGGCTTCAGCTGGCTCCAGAGGTAAAGTGCTAATGCTTTGCAACAGGAACTAATTTGGACCAAAGCCAGTTGTGAATGCTGGAGGGCTGTGGTCTTCCTAATGGCAGACATAGGCCAGAGAGGGAAGCTATGCTTCTTTACAGTGAAATGCAGTGCTCATGGCCCATCACATCAGGGTGGAGTTTTGGTTTTAGTACCTCTCAGGGCAGGTCAGAGTGAAGCATAAACACCTGCAATCCATCTGTATGGGAACAGGGTGCAGCTGAGGCAGTTTCCATACACTCAAATATGGAGCACAATTGAGAAGGACAAGCCTGTGTATGATGTTGTAAATCAGTGTCATCACTGGGAGAACCACTGCCACCAGGGCTAACCCCAGGGGGAGGGATGGATGCAGGTCCAGCACTCGCTGTGAGGTCACCACTGTATGGGAAAGGTCTGCAGGAAGGCAGCAGAGTGTACAAGCTCTCTGAAGCCAACAAGGGGCAGCCAGGGGTAGCTGCCTATAGGGGTAGCCTCAAGGCCATGAAGGAAACCAAGGCAGGAAATGTAGACATTGTCACAAGTTACTTCATGTGTGCCTCTGCAGGGGACCCACAGCCTTCCTCCAATCTTTCATCTACACCTGGTAAATCCATACAGGAGACTGTGAGCAACCAATACGACATCTTTGTTGGAAGAAAGCCTAAAAACAGCAGCATAATCTTAATCCTCATCAGCCAGTGATGATAAAGCATCTTCCTTCCACCCCTGGCTGTAATTAGATCTCTTCTGGAGCTGTATTCTGCAATATTGTTATAGGAACGAGGCCTAAAGCCAAGAAAAACATGGTAAAGGACCTTCCATGAGATGTGCCATGAGAAATGTGGTGAGAGGATTAACCTCCATTTACAACTGCAGCTACAGCACATTTGACTGTAATCTCATCTCTGCTTCTCCCAAAAAGAATACATTTATTCTTGGAAAGCCTTCAAGGCAGAGGATGAGAACATGACCACCTTGCAGACAAGTCCAGGGTCTTGCTCATCTCTTTCCCAGAGCAGGGATGCCTCTTTGGAAAGGTCTGTGACTCTGACTCCATTGGAGTATACCCAGGAACACCTGTACACAGCACTTATATACAACTGTATATTGCAGGTGCGTTTATCACTGGCTATCTAAGAACCTATAATCTATTGCCCCAATGAACCACACTGTTTGTGTTACTGTTCATGAAAGTTCCTACTGAACTTGACGGGATTTCTTTTCCTTTTGTGTTTAATGAACCTAATCAGCAGAGAGGTGAGAAATACCTAATAAGGGAAACAGGCTTCCATACAGCCACATTTGCTCAGAGGTTGAGACATCTTTAAAGTTAACTCCGTATTTCTGCATTAATGGCTTACTTCCATTGCTGGTTGTTGTAGGAGCCTCCACAGAATTCAAAAGAGCAAATTCAATGTGTCTGTAATGCCAGTAACTGAAGCTGAGTATATTTCAAGATTACATACATCACTAAGAAAGCAAAGAACATGCCAGCAGAAATCAAGGGAAAGCTGACTCCTAGATGCTGCTAAGAAACTACGGTTCAGCAACTGCAGAAGTAGTAAGCAGGGCATCCACCCTCAAGACTCACTGCCACTCGGTGCTGCTCCCAGCTCTACTGCTCCTTACTCCAAGTACACTAGGGAAGGAAAGGTGTAGGGGAAGACAGTAAGAATTCAGTGATGAATGATTTAGAAGACTGGTCTTTCACTTGGATGGCAGATTTAAAAGGGTTTTGCCGTGATGGGAGAACAAGAAAGCACACCTAACACAAAAGAATCTTTGGCTTTCACCATCACCATGATGGAAAAGCAAAAGAAATCATACACGTACTTTGGCACAAGCATGAATGCTCAGTAAGCCAGTGGCAATTTTACCTTTTCTTGTGTTCTCTTTCTAGACAGCAGATTAGGTTGTGCAAGACCTCAGCGTTTCCTGGCATCAGATTTAGGAATGTCAGGAATTACTGGTGTGTCACATTTCAGTTGCAGGGCCAGAGTGCTCTGCAAAGGAGCACTCCCTCATCAACCCTTTCTCCAGATCTAGTAGACAGATTCTGTATTGCACCATAGACTTTGCTCTGCTACCATTTTGAAGACCCAGATCTTTTGAAACAGTCTTGCCCTGGAAAGCCTTTCATGTGTTTTGCCATCTCAAAATGCTTTATTTACTCTTGGAGAATCTCTTTCAAGTGTAGTCACAGTATTTGACAAGTTTAAGTCGTCCCCACACAACCCGGAACAGGCCATGCAACTCTGAACAACTGGAAACAAGATATGCTCCAATGCTTCAGACTGACAAAAGGCTTTTACCACTCCCCTCCAGCAAGCCCAAGACAGCACAACATGGTGCAAGACCAAATGGCCACCCCAATTCAATGGAGTTCTTGCCACACAAGAGCAGTGACCTGCAGCACTGGACCACAGAACACAGCTTGCTGCCGTGCCATTAAACACCCCCAACATACAGTAAAGCACCTTGTTTGTGCAGTGTTTTCCTGCAGCACCCAGCAGAAATGGCCTGAACACTGCAGCTACCAGGCCAAAATTAATCGGGAAGGGGATGCTACCAATGGAAAGGTTTCCAGCCTTGTCTCCTTCCTCTGCTCCCAGAACTGCTGCTGTTATTTCTCGCACCAGATCACAGAAGTATTCTGGGGTAAAACCTAATTCTCAGCACAAGACCAGTTTCCAGATGACATAGTTCTGCAATAGTGCACAGCATTATCAGGGAACACCTGCTGATCTGTCAGTGTCATAAAGCAGCGTTAGACTATCTTTGATCTCAGATAATTAGGGTGGTATTACCCAGCAGAGCGTGACACTGCCACCGCCCTGCTTTTATTCATGTTTTCCTCTGTCCAAGCCCTCCCTGGTGTGAATGGGCCCAGTTTCAATACAGTAATGGCTGTTGGCACTGCAGGATTCACGCTGATGTAACAAAGCAATGATGAAAATCTGGTATCTGCAACACCCAGCTTCAGCAGAGAAAACAAAAAATTTTTTCAGCAACTACAGCCATTTGCTATTGGTACAGTCTTACAGGCGAGCTCTCTAAAGCAGGCAGAAGTGCTTAAAATGTGCCCTGTCATCATGGCAGGTATCAACTCTGTGAGGAAGGGATGGCAGAGAAGATAACCCATCCAACACTGGTGGGATTGCTTCATCCAGAAGGGGGAATAGCGGTAGGAGCTTTCAGAGCTGCGTATCCTTTTGCTCCCCAGCCTCACAAGCCACCTCTGCAGTGGATGTGAGTGGCTGTGCCCGTAAGTGTGACACCAAACGGGTCTCAGTCACACCTGCACCAG